CCAATGTCGCTTACTAATCTTCGTCGAGAATTGCGAGTTATTCGTCTTCTTGTATAATCATGAGAACTGGCCAACATCTCTAGCAGGTTCGAAGTATACAACAAAAAGACCATCGATTCCTCCACAACTCGCTCTAAATAAAATATTGGTGCGCAGCTTGATTATGATTCATGAAAACGACAAGAAAAATGAGAGACACGTTGAAAGAAAATAATTAAGACAAGTTTGTCAATTGAGTCAAGTTAGTAATTTTATTTATTCACGAGTTTTGATTACGTGAAGGATACGATGATTGAAAACAAAAACGACAGGAAAGTTTTTGTGTTGTGTAGAAAAGCAAAGAAACAACAAGATAAGTAAAATACTTAAAATTGAACAAGGCATGTCCTTAAATACTCGATAGAAAGCAACGCTAATCAGAAACTTGCAATGGTTCAGCATTCGTACATAAGGATAGGTTTTGATACTGACGAATTTATGTAGAATCACGAAGTGTATCTTCAGTTTTTTAAAGCAATCATATGAACGTATCGCTCGATCATACGATTTCATATCCAGTAATGCTGATAGATTGATATATTATTCAGTAGTTACAGTGATCTCAATGGCCTTGGATCGTCATGCATGTATTAAGTCTCAGTATCATTGTGCCAAGTGTTTACACCAAGCAATTCGTCAGTCAATTCCTCGGTTTTCACCGGATTCTTGATAGATATAAATGAACATTGCAGTAATTACAGGTTATCCTTCTAAATATGTATGCAATTAATGATTCCTACCTTGTCTGATACAGACAGGTTGATTGATGTGTTTATTGCAACGAATAGGTAAATATAGGACATTCATTCTATTCATTGAATGATATTGCTGGATCGATTTAGTCAACTATTCATTGTTGTAACACTTAGTAACAATCGATCGAATCTTTTATTTCGGAAAATGCCTCTAACTATGCTAATAATACTAAGCTCTGTAATTCATAATGTAAAATCATGAATCAAGTTTTTATTCGCATTTCTAGTTTTCCCATTATAAACATTGCTCTTTCCAAAAATGATGATATAATTGTTGAATAACCTAGGGATTTGTTTGCATATTGCGTCGTCAGAAATTATTATGTGGGAAGATCGGTCGCTTTTGGTTTTGGAATGGTTTGTTGATTAGGAAGGGGAGCTTTCGCGCATTGGGTGGTCAATGGAAGCGAGGTTAACTTTGGCATATAAGTGGTGTCTTTTGCAGTCTTTTTCAGTCAGGCTTGCGATTGTTGTAGCTGATGAAACGTTGTAACGCCTTTCGGAAGATTTTTGATGATTGTGTGTAGAGCAAGTTTTTGTGGAAGTGTGATTGCAGGGCAGGGTAAATTGCTTCTCTTTTCGACCAGAAGTATTGTCTGCTTCGTGTTTTTTGTTGAGAAATGGAAATGTTAGAATATCATACTGTAGGTTTCATATTCTGACGGTGGAGCGGGACAGATAGTCGAGCGTGCGCGGTAGTGAGAAAGATGGAGGTTAGCGAGAGGTTTGTGGACAATATGGGAGATCGTTGGAAAGGACTCGCACCCACGCAGAAGTTGAGGAAGTGCTTGGAGACCGTGAGATGCACGAAAGTCAGTTGTGGAGGGTTTTATATGGGCGTGGCCAAACGTTACCGAATTTTAGTTTGTCATCTTCTATAATCTATATTTCCGCCGCAACAGAAGTAAACGTTTTGAAACCTGTACCAGCGGTGGAGATCCTCGCAATTTACCATCGCCATAAATTCTTTTTATTTTTGTTGTAGCAGAGCAAAGTTATACAAAAAATACCTTCCGTTACGGAATTCCACAAAAGGAGATATTTTTTAAGAAGCACTGACAACTTTGCATTTTGCTAGGAAAGGACACATTAGGCAGAAAAACCAAGCGGGGAAAAGCTGTTTCCGAGTCTCAGAATCACTCAGAATCACATGGAATCGAAGGATAAAAAAAATGCTTCCCTATGTTTCTTGGTGGGCTTGGTCGAGCATATTTCATCGCTGAGAAGCAACCATTCAGGTTTTAGCAGCTTCTAACCGAATAATACGATGAATTTCATCATTTTACAGCAACACAGCAGATTTTCGAACAGTTTGTGACAGACTATTTGGATTCATTTCAGTATTTTTTGGTTCATAAACAGGCTTCCAGGCAGTTTTTAACTGACTAAGTGGAGAATGATTCTTAGAATTTCCTAAATCAAACGAAGTGATTACGATTAGTCAACTCAGGACACCTAGAAAACTTGACTGGCTGCTGAAGCCAACGAAAGGAGCCTAATTGGGTGGTTCGAAACTACCAGAGAAGGAGAAGGGCCAGATAGCTATTTCTGTCACCCGAATCAGATATCGAAATTTTAGATGGCGTTAGAATCATCATCAGATCCTGAGTAAAACTGCAATGCTGTCTTACATTCGGGTTGAAAAATACTACCTTTCTCTATCCATGATGGTCTCCACTTGATAAATCCGACAGACTCGTTTCCGATTTTCCTTTCTACTGCTGGTGCTCATCGTAGAGATTTGCATGCGGATTGTTGGTCTGTGGTGACTAACTAAAGTTCTTGTCTTTTAACTAGTGAAAGCATGTTGAGTTGCATTATAATTAAATGTTGTGGGTAATAATTTTTCATCCCAATGGGGCCGAGAATGATTAGAGAGTGCAACTAGATTAGGGACTAATGTAGCATTATGACGCTCACATTGACCATTAGCTTGTGGATTGTAAGGTGTAGTTTTTACGTGACAACAATCAGCTAATTTGAGTAAGAATTTATATAATGATGATGTGAAGTGGTGACCATTATCTGTGATAATTTCTGATGGAACACCATAGATCATAAATACATCATATAATAAAAATCGAGCAGCTGTTGTTGAAGTATTATCATAAACGGCTTTGGTTACAACGAATTTTGAAAAAAGATCTGTAAGGACAATAAAATATTTCTTACCAGACTTAGATTGAGGTACAGGTCCAACATAATCCATAGCTAGACGCTCCCACACACCACGAGGGGGTTCAATTGATTGTAAATGACCATCTGGTTTACGACGAGAAGGTTTATTTTTCCGACAATTGAGACAAGATAAAATATGTTGTTCAATATCTTTGTACATATTCGACCAATAACAACGATCACGGATCTTATAGAAAGTTCGTTTAATACCAAAATGAGCGCCATTAAATGTTGAGTTGTGATAAGTTAATAGAACATTAGGAGTTAACGAAGTAGGTAAATAACGAGGGTTAATGCGTTGGCCAAATTTACGAGTAACAATTTTATAAAGAACATTATGATCATCAATAACATAATTAGCAGGTAATGGACGTGTATTTTTAATTGCTTGTATATGAGAATCTTGATTTTGATGTTGATATAATACATCATTGTCGTAGAATATGGAGACAGCTTTTACAGATGAAGTTGATAATGCTGTTTTTGTTGCTGTTGTTGATGGTGTAATAGATATAGGTGGTGTTATTGTTTGTTGAACTTGATGATCAGAAGAAGAGAGGTGTTTTTTTTCATTGAACGTGTGGTAACGACGTTGATCAGAACATGTTCAATTTGAGTTGAAGAGTTCACAAGACTTGGTGCATCATAATAGTTATTATCAGGTAGATCAACTGGATAACGAGACAGAGCATCGGCAGTAGTATTGTCTTTTCCGAAAATATGTTGAACAATCATATCATATTCTTGTAATGTTGCCATCCAACGTTCAATACGAGTATTATGATATATGCAACTGGCTTATAAATAGAAACAGTTGATGTATCTTCAGCATCAATAGTTTGCTTCTGTAAAAGGACTGCGCCGATACCTACCCGTGATGCATCAGTTCGAATTGTATATGGTTCAGAAGGATCAGGTAATACAAGTACTGTAGGAGATGTAATTGCATCTTTTAGTTGGTTAAAAGATGCTTGTTCTATTTCTGTCCAGATAAAGGGAAAACCTTTTCGAGTAAATTTGTTGAGTGAAGCTGATATTTGAGCGAAGCGAGGGATAAATTTTCTATAAAAACCAATCATTTGTAAAAAAGAATGGGCAGCTTTACTTGATTTAGGTACTGGAAATTGTAAAATAGCACGAATATTATCATCGTTAGGAGAACAACCAGCTGCACTAATCTTATGTCCCAAGAACGAAATTTCAGGTTGGACAAATGAACACTTTTCGTAATTTAATTTAAAATTTGACGTATGTAATGCTTGACAAACTTTATCAACATCTAGAAGGTGTTGATTAAAAGAACGGGAATAAACAACAATAT